GCAAGTTTTGATTATGCTTACCAATTGATACATGTCTCACAAAGGGTTACAATGGACACACCCTTCCTTACAGATATATACATTTTTTTAATTGTTATTTCAATCAATCGTATGAGCTACACTTAAAGAGAGCTGTTGGCTGTTTATCACAAGCAGGCACGCAGTGAAGGCCAGGAGGAATTCTGTACAAACTCCGAGTCGCGCTCAGGGGCTGGGAAGCAGACACAGGAGGGACGTTGGGGCAGAGCCCGAGCGAGCTCTCCCGTGAACATCGACCTTGGGAGGGAAGGGACACTGAAGAGTTGAGTAGAAGTCAGGCGGCAGGACAGATCACTTGGAACAGGCGGATCTGGGGCCCAGGACCTGGAAGGTGTGGCCAACACCTTCCCATCAGGATCATGGGCCAGATGGCGCCCAGCCCACAGGGCCTAGAGCGTGTTCCTGTAAGTTACTCCGCTGGGGTTTGGACCTGCTTGGCACCTGTCCTCTCTTCCTCCTGGCCAGTGTCTACCTTGATGCCTGTTCTCCGTTAGAAACAGGTAACTTAGAGTACAGGTTCACGGACAAGAGCTGATCATCTTCTTTGCCCCAGGGTGGAGGGGGCCTAAAGTCTCACGCGTAGTTGATTTAGATGATTCCAAAAATGATGTAACCATAGAACACTGGAGCGTTGAATCTTGGATCTTCAAGGTGCACAACACGCTCCGAAGGCCATGCTAGAGAGATCCCAGGCCGAAACCCCACTAGGTGGACTGGACTCTACCTCAAACACAGTTGTGACCTGAGGCCTTAAGATGGGAAATTCATGGCATCTGAAGAAGCAGAAGACAGCTGTACCAAGAATATTGAAGTGTTGGTAGGTGGACAATCACTGACTTGCTACATCAATGCCCCAGATGCTGTATTAAGATGTATATTATTCTAGCAAACCTGTGACTGACATTCTTAGTGAATTGTTGTAAATTTCCCTGACAACCAACTCCCATTGTGTGTGTAAATAGTGCCCAGCCACGAAAGGATTGATTCTGTACACATGAATAATTCAGATACTGTGATAGAGAGTTAGCCTACTTTGGCCCAATATTTCTCTCTACAGTGTTTTTAAAGGAAAATCAGTACCAGGGGATAATCAATGACAATATTAATGGAAGATCTTCATGCTCCAAGAGATGATCAATAAGATTCTCTACCATAACTTAACAGGGGGGGGCCCCAAAAGGAACCAAAAACAAAATAAAAAAAAAAAAATCCAGGAATGAGTTTGGGCTCACTCTAAATCCTAGCTCCAATTTAAGACAATGAATTCTTACATCATGGCCCTGCTTGATAGTTGCCCTCAAGAAGGGAACACAGAAAATACCGGTGTTATAGCAAAGTGTGGTGAAGAAACAGGATGGTGCCCGTCTCTCAGATTGAATAGCATCTGGAGTCTTAAAGGCTTGTTTCTAAATAAGCAGCCATCTAATTGAGATGTCAACTAAGTCCACAAGGAAGAAGCACGCCAACTTCAGTGACGGAAGGATTGTAAATCATATCGTCCGAAGCTGGAGGAGGGAAAAGTATCAGAGGCTACACGGTGAGATTCTGGCTGTCAGTGGAAGCCCCAGACACATTTGTGAGACCTACACAGGAAATAGAGCTTCCGATGCTTTCTCTCCATCCACAATAGAGGGATGGGAAGGAGCCGGCTACCAGAGGGCATCGAAGCAATAACTACAGGTCAAAATGAAAAGGCTGACTTGCACGGCTAAATCCTTGTCAATTGATCCCCACTCTGATTCACGTTGGGCCTGATCTGGTTTTCAACATTTTCTGTGTATGTGTGTTTTTCTTTCTTCTCATATTGAGGTTTATCTCAGATGTATTTTGTCACTAGGGGTAACCCTCTTGAATTTTGATGACATGTATTTCTGCTTTTTCGGTATGTGAAACCCAGGATTGATGAACCTGTAGAGTCAGCAGGTAGCATAAGGGCTCTTGGGGATACAGTGCAAGGGGGTGGGGTAAAGGGGAGCTGAAATCATGGAGTTCAAGAAGGAAGAGAATGTTTTGAAACTGGTACATTGTGGTAGCCACTGAACAAGCCTGCTTGACAGACCGATACGCTATCTGTATTAGCTCCCGATAAAAAGGTTTTGGGGGGAAAACTGAGGGGTTGATGAGATAGGGCGAATGTGCGGTGTGTGTGGCGAAGACATGGATTTGGGTGGCCGAGGTGTAGGACGTGTGAGTTGAATAAAGCAGTGTGAGTTTGAACCTCTTTGCCTGTGGTTACCATCTTTTTTGGGATTGGGTTGCCTTTGGTAGGTACCCGAGGCAGGATTGGTCCAGGGCATATCCTGAGTTCATCTCTTTGGAGGTGTGCTGCCGTTGTTAGGTGCCACTGAGCCTGTTCCGACTCATAGTGACCCTGGGTGGGTCAGAAGGAAACCCTGCCCAGTCCTGCGCCAGCCTCGCCATTGTTCCTACGCATGGGCCCATGGTTGCAGCACAGTGTCTATCCATCTTCTTGGGGCCTTCCTCTTTTTTGCTGTTCCTCTCCTTTACCAAACACGGTGTCCTTTCCCAGGGACGGCTCTCTTCTGACACCATGTCCAGAACACGTGAGATCAAGTCTCACCATCCTTGCCTCAAAGGAGCATTCTGGCTGTGCTTCGTCCAAGACATCTTTATGTGTTCTCTTGGTAGCCCATGGTACTGTCCATAGTCTCCACCAGCACCGCCCTTCAAGTACATCTCTTCCTTGGTCTTCCTTATTGAGTGCCCAACCTACCCGGGCCTAGGAGAGGACTGGCAATCCTATGGCTTGGGTCAGGCGCACCTCAGTCCTCAAAGTAACATTGAGGGAGGTAGTTTATTGTGCCAACCTGGCCGATAAACACATGTGGGATTAATTGAAGGGCAGAGGGATA